GGATTCTAGCGTTGTAAGTCCGCAGACATACCGCTGTGCCACTAGAGGGCCGAACAATTGGTAAAAGCTGTGTATTAAAATCGTTGGAAAATTAGCTGTCAAACCGTAACGTTACTTTGAAAATTCGTTTCGCTTCCCACATTTTACTGAACGCCACCTGTTAGCTACAGCATAGCCCTAACGTTTACATTATGGTCTGTTTTAAAGCAAGAGCCTGAGATGCTAAAGCTTACGGGAGGAGACCACTAGAAACAGGTTTCGGTTTTGTTTTTCATTCACTGAAAGACAAATAAAGTTCAGTTTAATGAATGTTTTATCTGTAATTATTTTTTTTATTAGGGGACGTTGCAAGCGATAAATCAAAATACTTGAAATAAAGTTTGTGTCAATGATGTCGTACCAGATTCTGACGGAGTTACGTCGATGGGTAATTCCTATCCGTCTGCTTCCATTTCTTGATCTGTATGATAGCAGAGTACGGCCCAAAACCTGAAGCATGGATTATTCCTGATGACCTTTGACCTATAAAATAGGCCTTTAACAACATTAACTACCTCTACACGTGTTTATCCCTAACAGTAAGCTAGCAGTAAAAGTAACCCTTCGTAAGTACGGGAAACCATCCCCTCCACCCCTGCAGAACTCCATAAATACGGCAAAATATGCTCCGTATCACACATGGCTTATACGATATACCTAGAATTATTGTTTTTCAGTAAGTCAATAAAAATTATATACTTCCAAAGAGAAAGAATTATTAGAGTTTTGTGAGACGTTGGTATACAGGATAAGAAGTAAATAGGGCTACAGTCACAACTGTTCGAAATTACGCCCCAATCTCACAACAGGATCACTTCCACAAGCATCTTGTAAGGTAAAAAGACATCCCTTGGTTTAGCGAGCCCGGGTTATGAACCCGTTGCCGCAAGAACCGAGGGTGCGGTGTAACGGCCACGGTCAAATCCCTCTGCTAATCAGACAATAGCCGCCCAAAGGTTGGCGGTAGGTGCTGTTGACAAGCTTAGGCTCCCTTTAACCTAACAGTTCAAAAAGTAGGAACGGCTAGACACAGATAGCCGTTAGTGTATGTAGCTTTGCATGAAATTCTAAAATGAAAGCTTTGCACCGATAGATTTGCGAGTCAGGTTAGGGCATGCGATCAGTGGCGTGAAGAGGTTCTATTATGCCTAGGGCCTAAAACCTTGGGGAAGGGCGGAAAGGGTTCTACTATTCGATTCGACTCTTTTCGTTGGATGCCCGGGGCCCCGGCACCTTTCGCCCCCCCCCCCTGCACGCTACTGCCTTCGATACATATAGCCTGACAGGTAAAATTCCAATTAAGATGGTCGCCAATTAAATAACATTTTGAAAAGATGAGAATGGTAAAAAAAACACGGAACAAACAAGTTGTCTTACTGTGACTGTCACGTTGTTTTGTTAATACGAAGCTACACAATGGGCTATCTGCACTCGAACCCCCGGATTTTAGCCTCGTAAGTCCCTAAACTTGCTGTTGACCCATCGGGGGGGACACTATGTTAACCCACCGGAGGACACTATGTACAATGTGACTTAATTCTAGTCTAATTGGTTTCATCATTATTTATAACAGTTCGTTGTTATTGTTAACAAGTAAAGTAAAGAAAGCAGTTCAATGTTACCGAACATAATGGTAGTTCCTATTAAGTAAAAAGACTACAGAAATGAAATATATCACAAGACGCCATTGTAAGTGTTTCTGTCTGTTGTATATATATATATTACCCATCATCAAGATAACTGGGTATTTTTTTTATATCTTCTTCGATTTCAAAGTTAGTTTATACACAACCTTTTTTTTAATGTTGACGATGTTATCCTTCGATTTCACTGTTTGTTGAAAGGATTGCTTACGTTTTATCTTGCGTCATATTTCAAGGGATTTATGAATATTTCTGCGAGCTCTTGAGAAAAGCTGAGCTAGCTAAGGACACACACACACACACACTATCAGATTACTAAAAGCTTAATTCCATCCACTAAATATGAGTAAATAATAGTATTAGCTATTGACAATATCATACTCAATGTTCAAATTCGTTGTACTTAATAACTGGTGATATCTTAATGCTTAAGGATGTAGACGTTTCGGAGACAAATGACCGAAACTTTGTCCATCTCAAAAACTTACACCCCTAACAATGTCTATGCTGGCTATATTTACTAAAAAAACTAAACGTCAGCTTATGCAGAGCAAACAACACTCAATGAAAATATAGCAGATTATCGGAAGCCTAACAATAATACTAATGTGATTGTAATTAAAGAACACGTCGACAGATGGCGAGTTACGAACAAATGACACAACGCTTCTTTGCTTAGACTCTTTACCGTAACATTGTCTGTCTCAACAGGCTTTAATATAGAATCATTCTTCTTCTCGTAGTTAAAGACTTCACTGAGAACATTTAACCCTAAAATTACCAATGAGGCCTGACCCACAGACTTAAAAAAAACATTTTCCGAAGCTATTTATGCACCAACTTGTTTCTGGGTCCATTACTCTATTGATTACAGAATCCTCCTAATATCATAATAACATGGGTCCATTACTCTATTGGTTACAGAATCCTCCTAATATCATAATAACATGGGTCCATTACTCTATTGGTTACAGAATCCTCCTAATATCATAATAACATGGGTCCATTACTCTATTGGTTACAGAATCCTCCTAATAACATACAGCTCATAAAAGAGGGCGTAAACAGAAAATACCATCAATGTCGTCATGGGCGTCCGCAGAATTTTTTCCAGGGAGGGGCAAAGTAGTGTGAAATTGTGAATTGAATAAAAACATTCATATACATATGCTGAATAATAAAGAAAGAACTATGTTTATTATTTTTCAGGAGTGGGGGGGGGGGGGGCAAGTATTCCACTAATTATACTGCTGGTGTCTTCCCAAGTATTCTACATAGTGTGAGTGTATTGGTCAGTTATTTACACCTACTGTTGTAACATAAAAACAGTAATATATGGACCCAATCGGTAGTGAACAGTTTTAAAACAAGTCAGTAATTTGAATGTTAAAGATATTACAAGATTAGAGCGGTGAAAAGCGAAAACGTAAAACTGATAAACAAATACAAACACACAAATTACATCCTATATTCTAGTCCTTGTTAACCCTAACCTATTCATTGGAATATAGGGATTTGTTTCATTCAAATATTTTATATTTTACTTTATTCACTGGTAATAGACCCCTATAAGGTAGCAAACTATTCAAAATAGAAAAAAAGGAGACGCCTTGAGTCCATATCTCAAATAGTATAAAGGTAGCACCCGAAGGACACTGGGTAACTTGCAGGTGATTAATGTAAGAAAAAAAAATATAATTCATTAACCCTCAAATCCCGACTTGTTTCCCTACATATTGCTTGTTTGTTTATTGTTAAATACAAAGTTACACAATTTGCTATCTGTGCTGTGTCCACCGCGGGTATCGAAACACGAATTTTAACATTATAAGCCCTCAGACTTGCCGCTGAGCAACCGGGGAGCCACTAAATATTGCAACATATTTAAGGATTTTAAGTTTGTCTTTTCTCTAAGAACATACAGCATAAGGAACTGACCAAAAACATTTGGGCGAAATCGTTCCCTTTCTGAATAAAACACATAGGGGACCCCAGCAGCAAATTTGTGTGGGATTGAACCTTAGCTATCAAAGTCATGAGCTCACAAACAATGTGCTGCATAAACAGTTTTAAGTCTGAGGTTAAAACAGAGGATCTCAGCTGCCTTCTAACAAGATGATAGAAGACAAGCGTAGAAAATGAATTTCAGCCATCTTCTGACGAGACAATAGGAGGCAACTGTAGAAAACCAATTTCAGCAGTCTTCTAACAACGACGACAGGGGGCAAGCGTAGAAAATGAATTTCAGCCATCTTCTAACGAGACGATAGGGGGCAAGTGTAGAAAACCAGTTTCAGCAGTCTTCTAACAGGACGACAGGGGGCTAGCGTAGAAAATAGAAGACTGGGCGCTGAAATAGATAGATAATCCTACTCTTTGGTTAAAATACTTTCACGCTGGGTATACAGTCATTTTTTCTAAAGTGTCTCTCATTCCAAGACTTTGTGAAATTCCTCTTTTTCACGACACTTCATTTGCTTTACTCTCAATACCACGTATCATCACTTGGTATAGAGGAAACACCTTTCTATTTATCAAAACACACTACAACGATGAGCACGACATATCTCACAAATAATTAACTCTTAAACAGCAAAACTTTTAAAAACTAATCTCTTCAATATCTAGAAGGCGTTTTAACAAGACTCGGAATAACACACATTTTGTATTAAAACTTGAACTCCCGCTTTTTTTTTAATACACGTGACTTGACACCCTGGGAACTGGAACAATATTATCCCTATCGAAATGTGTTTAGATGGAGATTCGGAAAGATACTCATAGCTCATGTTATAATTATTGTCAACCGGAGAAATGATGCATTCTAACTCAGCGGTGTAATTCCTGGCGGACACTATATTATATTTTGATGTCTAAAACAAAACATTTTCCGATAGCACTCAGTTGTTGCAACTAAAATATTGCCCACAATATTGATGTAGAATATAAGAAATATTTTGAACTTAGAATACGCGGTTGTGTTCACAGAAAGAAATGTTGACTTTTTTTTTCTCATCTTTTTTTCCATTTGTAAAACCTAATGACGTTTCATTACCGTGTATACATAAGCGAATAATAGCATATTGGAATGATATTTTTTTAAAGGAAATTTGAGCAGCAAGAGTTTTAAAGTAGATTGACTGTTATTACATCAACTTGAAAAATCTATGAATGAGAAAAATTTAATGCAGAATTACCAAAGTTTTTTTATTGTTTTTATAGCCGCAGACATCTGAGAGCCCGTCGTCTCAAACAGCACACAAGACTTTCGGCCTTCGGCAACCCAACATCACCTTTTCCTAACACATTGTTTCATGAAAGCAGATTTATGGTTGGCCACAAGCAAACGCAGATACGATTCCAAATAATAATGAATTGAAAACTAGTTTAGACCCAATTAAAAGTACAAAAGGAACGACTCGACCCAGATGAGCTTCTGGGAGGTATATTAAAAAGGGAGCGTCAAATTGCGAAAACGGCGGCAAACTATGAGGAACCGGAAATTGTATTTGTTCACTAAAACAACGTGCTATTACGTACCGGCACGGGGACTAAGAAATATCCAAACAGCAGGCCGCCATCAAATGGAAGATATAATGGCGGACTTTCAGTCTCACTTCAGACATCGTCAATAAGATTAGCTGAAAATCATCCATATAATTACACTGTCTTCCTTGTGTTTTTATTTTCTTTTACTTTATAAAGAGGCGTGTTTTCTCGTTGCCCTGGAAAGTCAAATTTATTCAACGAATATTATATCTCAAAAGTAAAAACGTTAAGAACAACATAAGAAACGCGTTATAAAAACAATATTCGTTAAAATAATATTTAAGCATAATATTCATGTATCTTGCAGTATCTTATAAACCTTGCAGGAGCCTTAATTGCCTACATTATCATGTTAACACCAACAGCAGCGTTACATAGACATGTTGTTAGATGAGAGATGATATTAGCTTTTTATGCGCATACTGTTTATTTTTAAATGGTTAGGCTTAACAGTTAACTAACAAACATTTGTTAGGTACACGGAAAGAGACATATTTATTACATGGTAGCCCCCAGTGGTACAGCGGAATGTCTGTGGACTTACAACGCTAGAATTCCGGGTTTCGATACCCGTGGTGGGCAGAGCACAGACAGCCCATTGTGTAGCTTTGTGCTTAATTACAAACAAACAAACTGACATGGTACAAATGAATGTACAGACAATACATATAGCTGTAGAAGGTTGTGAACGGAAATTGGTATAAGATAATCCAGTTACTGTTGTCAAAGTAGCTTTTCTTTACCGATATAAATAAATAAATAGATGGGCGAACACTATTCGAATCCTCACTTCCTCTGGTGCCCCCCAGTGGCACAGCGGTATGTCTGCGGACTTACAACGCTAGAAACCGATTTCTATACCCGTGGTGGGCAGAGCACAGATAGCCCACTGTGTAGCTTTCTGCACAACTACAAACAAATTACACTTTTAAAAATCACACGTAGCAAGTAGTGTTAAATCTTTTTCAATTCTTCCAATATACAGCGAAATCTAGTGGTGAGATAAATATAATAAAACAACATTCACAAAAAACATGGGCAGACAAAATGGAACAATTAAAATTTAAAAAAACATTCTCATATAAACATGCACGCATGTAGTTACTAATAATACGAATTAGAATTTCAATTATACAGCACCTTATGTACACGTGGGCTAAACCTCCAGACCAAAACCCCCTTTGGTTTAGGTATAGTCATCTTTGTTTTGAACTACTTAAAGAAAGAAGGCAGTCAGCCGGCAGCACTCGCCACCGAAAGGGCTTGGAATATAATAAAGGGTTTCATTGCCATCACTTTTAAAACTAACATTCTCTACAACATTCTTGAATCTTGGAATTTCCCATCCTAACAACAGGAAATGCAAGTTGTTAAAGAAGTATTCACTAAGTTGATCAAGGAATATATTGACGGAATATATAAAGTTAAAGAAAACGTTTCTTAATATTATGTAAATATGTACTACTTAACAGAAAAGTTAAGTTGTTACACGAGCATGAACTAATTATAACATAACGAAACTTGTTAGACGAACACGCACGTCTTAAGAAAAGCGAGGAAACAATTAATATAGAACCATGACTTAAGACACGTTTATGGCGTGTTAAGCTTAAACTTCTTTCTAGCTTTAAACATAATTAAAGTTGTTTGGTCAAAGTCATTAGATTAATTAGCCGTCAAGGTCTGAAAGAGAGGATTACTCTTCCATAGAAGAAAACGGAAAAAATGTTTACTTTTCGAATAATTTGAGGTTTTTTTGTTTTTTTTTGCATATAATACATAAAATCGAATTTTCGAAAATGTGTAGCTCTCTCTCTGGGCTCAGTGATAAGGTTGAGGAATAGCTTATGACGTTTAAATTGTAGGTTCAATCCCTGTAGTGGACACAGCGAACATAGCCTCTTGTGCGGCTTTGCCCTTAAACAAACACAGAAAGTATTGGTAACTTACAGATAAAAGCGGCGACACGTTACCCCCAATTAACGGGTCCATTTTACCAGATTAGGTCATGCCATGTTAGTGGTTTATATGGGAAACGTTAGACATTTATTTCAGTGACTAGTTCGTATTATTCTAAAGCGCAGAAATCTATTCCTTCAAGGGTACAGGGCTGGACGTAGCCTGGTGGTTAGCATGTTGGGTTGTGAAACATCCTCTGGTATTAGATATATTTTTCACACTTTTAGTGGTTAGCGCTATATAGACACGACAGTCAATTACATTATTTGATTTAAAGAGCCGAACAAGACTGCTATAGAAGCACATGCTGTTAATTTTCTCCTCTTTGGTCAGTTGTTCAAAATGAGAAATGACAATATCTAAACTCCATCTGTCTCTGACCTAGCTATTTAGCCCACGTGCGCAGAAGATACCAATCAGATTAATAAAGGAGTTGTCCAGGCGTCTAGATAGTATTTTGTTTTGTTTTTACACAATATTACGAATCTACCGACAATGACCTGTAGTTACATCTAAAATACAAATGCGATGAAGTGAAGTAAATAAGCCCCCCAGTGGCACAGCGCTTTGTCTGCGGACTTACAACGGTAGAAACTGGGTTTCGGTATCCGTGGTGCACAAAACACAGATAGTCATTTATGTAGCTTTATGGTTAAAACTATAAGAATAAACAAAACAAAAAATCGGTAATATATGCAGTTGATTAGTATCCAATATGGCGTATATAGCTGTTCAAAATATCGGTAATATTTGCAATTGAAAATTGTTTAATTTTTATGAGAAAACGAACCCAAAATGGCATCAAATCACTCCAGTGTTATCACACTTAAAAACATCACTGCGCTTCTGTAAGCTGACGATAATACTGGCTCTGAACCTGAATTATCCGACGATAATTTTGAACGAGATATGACTGCAAAAAAAGCTTTTTGGTTTTAGCTAGCTTTTTCTTTCACTTATCTCCAAGTTTAATCTTGACCTACGCAAGTCATGGAACAGATTTTTTTTTAATTTAAACTTGAAGTAAAAATACAAACATTTAACCGGTACATAGAAAAATACTGAAATATACATTACTGACGTAAATTATTCAGTATTGAAGTCGATGAACTTGAAGATCTTAGATTTTAAGATTATGTTGTTGTTGTTTTTTAAACCGACGTAAATTATTCAGTATTCGGTATTGAAGTCGATGAACTTGAAGATCTTAGATTTTAAGATTATGTTGTTGTTGTTTTTTAAACCGACGTAAATTATTCAGTATTCGGTATTGAAGTCGATGAACTTGAAGATCTTAGATTTTAAGATTATGTTGTTGTTGTTTTTTAAACCGACTTAAATTATTCAGTATTCGGTATTGAAGTCGATGAACTTGAAGATCTTGGATTTTAAGATTATGTTGTTGTTGTTTTTTAAACTGCTTGGTTTCAATTTTAGGATTTGTTAAAATTTATTTAAATTGGTAACAAAAGCTGACAGATATTATATTTGCATCAAACGAAGACAGAAAATTTGACTCGAGCACCAAAAAAAATGCTATGTGGGTTGTATAATTTGCTAAAAGAAGCAATCTCAAAATTAAAAAGACCCAATTCTTATAATTGAATATTATCAAACGTTGGTTTGTTTCGGATATGCGCGAAAATAAAAAAGGGATATCTGTGATAGACGTCCCTAATTTTGAACTGGTAGACAAGAGGAAAGACAGTTAGTCAAGAGCATCTACTGGCAACTTTTGTGCTATTGCAACCGAATAATGTAACTTGACCAACACTCTTATAACGCATCCACTGCCCACAAAGTGCGAATCGCGATTTTATGGCAACGGGACGCTAACCATGTACCCGCGGATTCATAGCTCGGTAAGCTAACCAGTGAGCCACACCCATCACCCAATTGTATAGGAATGGTGTTGTGTATATAGAGACGTTATTGTTTATGGCAAGTTTCAACCCCGTGCGCCCCAGAAGACTTGGTCCTTCTGTGACACAGCATAAGCTGTTCAGCCAATATGGGGTATCTCCAGAGGCAAATACAGTGAGGGTGTTGTGTTCATATTGCACCTGATTTACGGGACCTAGGGTTCCAACATCACGTGCTTGATATAACTAGCTAATCAGGACTGACAGGTTCTGCTAGCGAAACTAATGCACATGAGTAAATAACAATACTGCAGATTCATTGGAGTGCTTTGTAGACAATGTGAGACTAAGCTCTGTGTCACATGAATATCATGAAATGCACACACACCGATATTTTTTCGTATAGATAACCATATTGAGATAAGATAACGTAATGGTACAAATATATCACCTCATGGACTGATCTACATAGTAGCCGATTGACCTTTGATTTACTTGTTTGTTTGACTTGAATATCCGTACACGTTAGTGAAAAGGATATGTTATAATTGATCTGTGACACCTATCACTCTATTTATGCAAACTTAAATTAATATCTGGCGAGTCATTTTAGAACTTTATTGACAACCATAATGGCGCGAAAACTCGCCCACCTCAAGAATCAAAGTGGAAATATCCATTAACAAAATACACTCCTTAATAGAACTCAGGCTTTGAAAAGTCATTCATGAACCTAAAGAACCAAAAGTTTAGAAGTAGCCCTTACATTTCATCCAATAAAACAACTCAGTGCGTTGTATCCGAAATGTAGCCTATGAAATCTGAAACTTACACCTGAAGAAGAAAGCCTGAAGTAGCCTCTGTGAAATTTCGATTCTGTACCATAGATTCTTGATGTGTGGAAAGTGGAGGCAGAGATGACGCAACGCAAGATTATGGAGTTGGGTTGGGAAGTTCTCCCCCAGCCACCATATTCTCCAGATATGACACCATCAGATTATCATCTTTTTTGTTCGCTGCAACACCATCTTAATGGGGA